ACTCTTTCATCAAAATGTGGGTAAAGCTATCCTGCTGTTTTGGTGCTTCTACGAAGTCCTTGAAAATTTAAGTAGTAGACATTTTAGAGGTCGAGAAATGTCTTTTAAAACTTGGACAGTGAACTAGAGTAAGGGGAAGAATGAGTGATGAGGGGAGGGAAAGGAAACTCATAAAAATAGGAACTTCCTAAACTGGTTTTACCATGTCCTGGAGCTACTGCTCTTTTTCAGTTTAGGTGGTCCCCTGAAAATAAGAGGTAACTTTGATCCAAATTCAAACAGCTTATCATGGGTGATTCTGATGTTTGGACAACCAGTGCATTGGTGACTTAGAATGATAACTGTTGTGCTCTGGTAAACTTGTACTTGCCTGGTGGCTTATAATTACCACATAATTTTGTTGTTAAAATAAACATCACTTTGTTCTCAGTCTGCAGTTCTTGACCTCCTCCTGTTTTTGTATTACAAAATAATATTCATAGTCTTCCTCAAAAAAAAAAACCCAACACACTGGAAAAACCTCAGATATTGAGGTCCTAAAAAAGGGATAAAAAAAATCTATGTAGAAATAAGCATGTAAGAAATAGTTTCTAACAGTTTACATAGATGCGTGCTTTATGGATGGTTAAGTAATACAAAAATTTTCATGCCCTGTTGGCGCTATGCAACATACGAAAAATACAGCTATTCACTGTGTCTGGAAGCTTGTAAACTGAGGCTGGTAACCAAAATTGGAGGGAACAAATATTTGCTGTTGTTAGAACAGAAATGAATATTCTTGTGGGTGGCAAGCAGGAAGCTGTTTGAGTGACTTTAATTGGGTGATTTTTCATGTCAGTAACTATGATTAAGGGGGAAGCAGAAGGAATGTGTGGTCGCACGTTGGTGAAAGTGCAGGAGGGTAGGGGTGGACAAGGTGGGCTGAGGCTGAGAAGGAAACAAATGGAGTACTTTAAACTTTCTCCTCACGGACAAGGAGTGACAGGGAGTTAGAGGGGGGTACACAGGGTACACAGGGAGGCTGGGATTCTAGAGCGTCTTAGGCTAGAGTGAGAAATTAGAGACAAAATTGTGAACAATGCCTAATGATTCGGCAATAGCAATCTGATGTGGGCTAGGTCTGTAGGTAAGTCCTCTTGGCATTTGGAGCTACTTCACTAGATACAGAAAGGATAGCAATTGCAAGTCCTACTGAAACACATAGTCTTAGATGAACTGTGGCTTGTGTGTGTTAGGGAAACAAACCCTCCTATGAGGAAATTTGCAAAGTAAATGATATTTAACTACAATAGTTTTCTTCTTCAACCATAGTATTTTCTAATGTGACAGAGTAGTGACTGGCGGCTCCTCTGCTGTTGCTGTTAAATGGTGTTTTCTCTCCTAGGATTTGGACGTGGCAGAGGGAGAGGAGCGGGGAGGTTTTCAGCCCAAGGCATGGGGTAAGAAACATGTAGAGCACAGATTTTGGCAAGGATCAAACTCAGTGGCAATATTAACTGACAATATTGCCACTATATGTATTAATATTGCTGTATGCTTGATAAACCAATATGGATGCAAAAATTCACAAATCTGTTAGATGGTTAATGGATTATTTTTGTCTTAAGCCAGTTTTTCTAACTAGACACACCTATACAAACCTAATGTATGTTCACTCAATGTTAATATCTCAAACTTGGAGAACCCGTTTGTACCTATCAGTAGCAGCCACATAGTGCCTAGGAGCCTGAAAGTTCTGTGTGGGTGTGTATAATCCTAGGTCAGTTTAAAAATAGATTTGTTTCAGTGTGATGTAGAATGTGCAAGTTATATATAAAACCAGAAAGACTAGTGATTATAAACTTTCTCCTCTTTTTGAGGTTTCATGCTTTAGCTGTTTGGACATATGTGGACCCTAACCAGAATCAAAAGAAGTTAGTCAGCAGCTTTAAAGTTTGTTCTTAGTTTTGTTGGAATAACTTGCTTCAGAGAAATGTAGCCTCCACTACTTTCACTCAGTGTTTGCCTTTAATGACATTTCATGTAATACCAGTGATGTTGCAATGAACAGAAGGCTCCTACTTATCTAACAATCCTTCTTGTTCGTACTTGTAGTTAATAAACTGAAAAGAGGTTCTTCTTCAGTAGTCCTTTTTCACCTTTTAGCTGCATCTGTGTGTTTTGGCATTGGTCAGGAACACATTCTGAAGTAATCTTACTGATGATCCAACTCCTGTCCTGCACAGATTTGGTACTCTGAAAGGATATGATACTGGTTTCTCATCAATCAGCCACAAGCTGAGAAGCTGTCAGCTGAGAGAGGCTTATCATTGTGCAGATAAACTAATGCTTTATAGGGCTGGGAGGAGTTGGTATGCTGTTAACTGCTTTTTCAGGAATTGTTGTTTTGGTTCAATTTCTCTAC